CTCTCCCTCCCCTGTAGAGAGCCTTCGACTTCCCATCAACGTTGGTGATGGCGAGTGGTATGCAATTAATCTGCGCCAGACTGGATTCTACCGCGTCAACTATGATGAAGAGAATTGGCGAATCCTGACGGAAACTCTCATCAATAATCATCAGGTAGGGACAAAAAATCAAGACCATTATGCACTCAAGGAGTAGTTAAGTTTTTAGCGTATAGGTGTCTCTTGGATGGATTATCGTTTAATCGTTTTTTTTGGAGAAGGTGGAAATTTAGTGATTTGGATCCTTGAGAATGCTTTTTTTTCCTCATAGTCGTGTAGGGATTAATACCTGCTCACCTTGAGTTAATTATGGACGTCGGATAGATATGTACTTAGCGTTAAAGACTGGTCCGCATTAATCGCAATCAGGTGTTTTAAGCAACACGTCACTGATTTTTGTGCTGGTCAGGAAATGTAGGGGTTATGGCTACGAAGTTCATCAATGTTCATCCTGTGAGAGAAATGCCAAATTGTGCTGGCAAATAGTGGATGTGACAATACTGGAGTTTTTCACTAGGGTGACTGTTAGATATCTCTTCTCCGAATATGGAATCTATTTTACAAATGGACTTAGGATTTATTGGGTATCATGAGAGAATTTGCCCATAAGTTTGAATGGCCACGTCTATTTCATCTGTAAACCAACAGATCATGATGATTCTAATGAGCTGTGTCTATGAACTCTCTAAATATTTATTTATTTCGAATGGCAGGCATTTTGACAGTTATCACCAGCCCTTAACTGACTTTGGGCTTCACAGAGGGGAGGAGGAACATTAAAGTGACAAAAAGTCGAGATGGGGAACAGAATACTGATTCACAGATTTAAAGGAGACAGTCAGATACAAATGCTGAGAAAAGGTAAGATAAGTACTGTGAAAGTTGACGAATATGACATTTAGTGGGGTGATGGTAGTTTGAGGTCAGAAGTCAACTGCCGGTTAATAAATTTTCTGGCCGTATGAGTATACGTTGCTCAGGATGCACCACGTGGAGGTAAGTCTATCGCACACCCCGAAAATAATAATATTTTTGACAATCCACCATTTTTGCTCATAAGTATCCTCTAAGCGGTTCCACTTTCCACCTCTAATGGCGTTCAACTTTAAATGAATTAAATTCTTGCACAAGTTGAGGTTAATTTAATTCCCACAAATTTGTTCATGACGAAATGATCGGAATCACGAACTGTAATATTTAGAAACTTTTCATTCAAAGTGGTAGCTTTTGGACAACTGGAAACAGCTGATTATTTGGGGAAATTTCCCCTTTGATCACTTAAATTATCTATTAACACATGTAAATTTTAGAAGTCACATAAGTACGTATGTTTCGTGTTTATTTTCAGGAAATACCACGATTGATGCGCGCCCAATTGATTGATGACAGTTTCCGCATTAGCAAGTAAGTCCCGTTGATCTGTTAGGCTCAATGTTTGCCACAAGTCCAATTGACGGTTGGACTGTAATAAATTGCGTATATTTATAATATGTTTTACCAAACCACACACAAACTTTCAAGACGCCAGTCTCCATTGACCTAAATGGGGTGTGTGAGTGTACATTTAGTGTTGAATGCGGAGTTTTTCTCTATTAAAAAGGCCTATTGTCACCATATTTATTTATTTATTTCAAATGGCAGGCGTTTTGGTATTTATCTTTGGCTCTTTAGTTGACTTCGGGCTTCACAGAGAGGAAGAGAAATCGAATTGGAAAAAAATCGAGAGGGGAGAGGGAACAGAAGAGTGATCCAAAGAGACAGACACAAAGGTAGAGAAAAGGTGTGGTGAGTACTGTGGAAGTGGACGAATTTGACATACAGTGGGGTCATGGTAGTTTGAAATCAGAAATCAACTGCCTAGACGTTTTTGCCGTATGATGAGTACACGTTGCCCAGGGTGCACCACATGGAGATAAGTCTATCGCACACCCCTATTCTCACAATATACTTTCTTACTATGTCCTGTCAACGATCATTTAGCCACGGAATACTTAAGTCAAAAGTCGTATCTTTTGATGAAGAAATTTAAGTACTAAATTCATTTCTACCACATTTTATTACTTTTAATCGTAAGAATACATTCAAACCCTTAAGAAGGTTGTGGGGGGGGGGTG